CGGGCATTGACTGCCCGGGCGCGGCGGCCCCTGCCGCACGGGGCGCTTCCGCCCGGCTTCGGCCCCCCGGGGCCACGCGTCAGATCGAGCCGCCTCGGGAAGTGGCACGGAGCAGCGGGGTCGGGGGCTCCGGTCGTGGTGGTTTACGATGGTTCGTCTGTGTTCGCGGCGTCGGCTCTCAGGGTTTGAGTGATGACCCTGGGGAAGAGTGGCCTTTCGAGTAGGGGATCGACTACATAACTGATTTGCCACAGCACCGATCGTCGCTTGGAACCTCCCAGCAATAAATCGAATGTTCGTGGAACGATAAACATTATGTATTCGTGGGTTCAGCAACAACTTCCCAGACAGTGATTGAACTAGGGGGTTCTTACGACTTCTGCTCTAAGAAACTGGGCCGTGTGAGCGGCCATGCGCCTGTGTTCCCGCCGTCGCCGCCCCGTCGCCGCCTTGTCGCGCCCTAGATTGCACAACATTGGTAGAAACGCATAGAGTGCACCACATAGGTTGCACCGCATGGATTGAACCAGATTGCACCACATAGCTTGCACAACATAGTTTGCGCGGCATCGATTGCACCACGTTAATTGCACAACATCGACTGCAGAGCATGGGTTGCACAATATATGTTTCACCACAAAGAACGCACCACAGAGAGTGCACAACATAGTTCGCACCACTAAGACTGCACGACATAGATTGCACAACATAGATTGCACAACATGGAACGAGCTGCTATTGTATCACATGGACAATACGAAATCCATTGCACCACGTGCATTGCACCACGGAGATCGCTCCACATCGATTGCACCACGTAGATTGCACCACACAGAGTGCACCACATCGATTGCACAACATGCATTGCACAACATATATTGCGCAACATAGATTGCTGGAAACAAACTGTTTGGGGTCCATGCAGGCGAGCATGTCAATTTTGAGGTACATCAAATATGTACTCCATCTCCCACTCGAACTTTTGGTGCGCGACTTTCGGGGGCCGCCGGACGCTGCTGGAGCGGCCCTCGGCGGGGACAGCAACCCAGATCCCGTCGAGTCAGCAAGAAAAACAGGCGGAAGGTTTGTCGCCATTTTCAGCCTCTGTGCGCCCTGACCAGGCCGCGGGCCGTCAAACAATGACTCGGGATGAAACGCCAGTCTCGGGGAATGGATCGAGACCTCTGGGAGTCGACGTCGCGAAACAGATCATGAGGTCGGGGGTCTGGGAAGCGACCACAACCACATCGAGGACACACCCTGGGGGGGGGTCCTGCGCATGCGACCAATCGTCAGAACCCAGAGATCCGACGTCTCGATTTTTCCGAAGGAGGAGGAGGAGGGAGGAGGAGGAGAGAGGAGGAAGGCGGGTCGCCTAAGCCCGGAGAAACCCTCCACTTGGTTGTGGTCGTGGCTCTTGCTTGCTTTGTGCCCGGATCCTCGGGGCCTCGGCCCGCCTCTGGTCCATGCAGCCCGGGGGGGGGCGCGGGGCGACCTGTACGACCCAGGCACCCGACGACCTGCCGCTGCCAGAGGGTTCTCGCTCGCTCTCGCCCGTCCTCGGCGGCCGCCCCGGCCTCTCGGGAGATGCTTCCCCCCGCGGCCGCGCCCCGCCGCGAGCGCTCGAAGGGGGCTGCCCGGGTCTGCCGGAGCGGCGGCCGGTGACCTGCGCTTCTGGGCCCGAGAACCCAGAGCTTCGACAGCGTGCCTTTTTTCCAATCCGGGCGTTAACCTTCGATCAGGCCTGAACCCCAACGGTGTGTTTCTTCGTTCTCGTTCTGCTCTTTCGCTGTCGCTCGCCTCTGCCTCGAGTCCGCCTCCACCGCACAAAGGAAGCCGAAGCGAAGGCGGCCCACGAGACCGCGAGAAAAACACCGTTTGGGTCCAGCCCTGCCCTCGATCTTGCGGCACCCGCAGGGCCCGACATCGGGCAGCAGAGGACCATTCCAGTGGGTCTGGAGCGAAAAAAAACTGCCCCTAGGGTTATGTGGATCCCATCGTACTCCAGGACCACATGCCAGAAACAATTTCGAGCACCGAGGAAAATGTCGAAAGAGTGTCGAAATAGTGTCGAAACAGTGCCGAAACAGTGTCTCCCAGGGCCCGACACGTGAAAGCCCTAGAGCTTTGGGGTATTTTGCTGGCGCTCGACATTCTTTCTTGTGATCAAGGCTAAAGTAGGTTGGAACATCATAACCCCAGGGAAGGGGTCGGGAGCTCCCCAGACGTCCGACGTCTCGATTTTTGTCGAGACGCGGGCCCCCGAACTCCCGACACCTTCCCCAGCACAGGTTTTTCATCCCGCGTTTGTTTCTGACGGCCCCGAGGCCCCGCGAGGGCCCCGAGAGGCCGAAAACGACGAAACATCTCAGTCTCGATTTTTTCGAGTCGCCCGATGTCTAGGTCCAGGGCCTCGGATTGAAAAATCATGTCGGAGGATGCCTGGGGACAGAGCAGTGTGCAGAAAGCTTGGGCCAAGCCGGGGGTGCACGCATGCGCTGCTGCCCGCAGGCGCCCCCCAGGGTGGCTGCTTGAGGCCACGGGCACAACGACTTGAAGGGAGCGGGCGGCTTCTGCCTCGACGAGCGTACTCTGCGAAGGGCTCACTGCTTCTGAGCACCTCGACAAAAGTGCCCTGGGCAATGCAGTTTGACTTTTGTCCTTCGCTCGGCGAAGGAGAAGAGGAAGGAGAAGGAGAGAGATGGAGAGGAGGAGAAGGAGGAGGAGGAGGAGAAGGAGGAGGAGAGAGATGGAGAGGAGGAGGAGGAGGAGGAGGAGGAGGAGGAGGAGGAGGAGGAGGAGGAGGAGGAGCGAGAGGAGGAGCGAGAGGAAAAATAGGATAACTACTGCTCATCGGCATCATATCCTCCTCCGCCTCCTCATACGGCGGCGACGGCGACGAAGGCGGCCGCGACTGCCCGCGCCTCGCTCGTCATCTGCGCCCGCATCAGCTCCACGAAGCCAGCTGGGTCCGACCCAGCGGCGGCGCGGTCCCCCGCGGCGTTGAGGTAGATGTCGCACCGGGGGCGGGGAGGAGAGGAGGAGGAGATCGGCGAGGAGGCGAAGATGGTCAGTGCTCTGAGACGTGCTTGGCATGCGGAGCCTCCGGAGATCTCTGGGGGGGCCCGGGGGGATTCGGGTCCTCTGGGGACCTGCGAAGGCGGAGGAGGAAGGGACGGACTTTCTCTCTCACGGCTGCGCCCTGGAGCTCAGACTTCTTCATTCTGGTGGTGGTCGTCGTCGCTCGACCCCTCTCCCCGCAAGTACCCTGGGCCCTGGCCCCGGCCCCCTCGCTCCCCCTAGCCGCGGATTCAGTTGTTCTCGCGGTGGTGGTCGTCGTCGCTCGTCCCCTCTCCCCTCGCCCACCCCTGGCCCTGTTCTGGGCCCTGGGCCCCTGCGTGTTGGTGGTGGTTGTCGTCGTCGCTCGCCCCCTGCTTTCCCTGGCCTGCGCCCCGCTTTGGCCCCAGTCCCCATCGCTACCGGATCGCGCAAGAGCCAGGACATGCGTGCGACTTGTTCGGCGGAGTCTGACGTTTCTGGCCCTCTTTGGGCATCCTGGGGCGCCACCCGCGCAACGAGCTGGGTCTGCCTCGAACCTCTTGCCGGAACTCGGCCCAGGACATGTCCTGGGGCCGGGGAGGATGAGGAGAGTGAAGGATGGAACACGGAGGATGCAGCATGGAGCACGGAGCATTGAAATACCCCTCCTCCTCCCCCTCCTCCTCCTCCTCCTCCTCCTCCTCCTCCTCCTCCTCCTCTTTCTCCTTTCTCGCATCAAACAAGACCGAGAACACCAGATCGGCACACACACACAACGCTGCGTCCGACCACACCAGGCGCGTCCAAACGACGCCAGCCTTCACCAGGCAAGGCCATAGTTAGTTAGATCACGCGGATTGTGAACGAGACGCCGGTCGCTGGATAATCTGGTGAAGACACGCGAAGAATTTCGGGGAAAAACAAATATGACCGAAGACGGCATACAGCAAGGAGAACATCCGTGTACACATGACGAGGGTGTTTTGCCAAGGTGGGCTGAGGCAAGGGCGCGTATTGGGTGGGGGGGGGCACATTTGTCCTCTTCCTCCTCCTCCTCCTCCTCCTCCTCCTCCTCCTACTCCTACTCCTACTCCTACTCCTGCTCTCCTCCTCCTCCTCTTCCTCTTCCCTCATCTGTTCGTCGGCGCGCCTTGGGGGCTTCATCTTGAAAACGAGCTCGTCGAACACCTGTTGCAAGCCAGATGGATGGCAACTTAGAACATAGACAGTTACAGGGTGGCGATGAAAGGTGGCTGGGGACCTGGTAGCAAGAAGCCAGATGCATGCGAGTACACCGCGTGCAGAGGGCGGTGACAACGAGGCACTTGCGTGAGAGGAGGGTGGAGGAATCAACGCCTGACTCTTGGCCATCGTCACAGGAAGGGACCGCGCTCGTTCCAGAAGTTGCTCCGAGTATAGGGGGGAATCCGAGTCAGGGTCTGAACATGTGCCCTGGCCTGGCTCATGCTCGACCTCCTCGGGGCAGGGAAGGGGCAGTGGAGGTGGACAGGCTCGCCAAGACCTCTGGCGAGGAGCCCTGAAAGGCAGCACTGCTCCAGCTGACAATTAGGTACTGGTGCCCTGGACGAGCGCGAATGCCCATGTCGCCAGATCGTGCTGGTTGCGCCAGAGCGAGAGCCCCATTTTGAAGAGGGACCGCCCTCCACCCTTGCACTTGCTGACCAGTGTTAAGCGAGCATGTGCGGCGCTGAAGCGAGGGTTACGTGCTCAAAACGACAAAGGCTCCCCTCTCGTAGCCGTCGGAAGCTGTGAAGGAGAATGCCTGCGGCGCTACGGCGCGACTCACAAGTTCAGGGCAGACCGCCCTACACTTTGTAGCTGCTGGAAACTCTTAAGACGAGCGCGCGCGGCGCTAAAGTGACAGCGGCACGTTGAACACATCTCGTCCGCCATCCGTGTACATGCTTGGATGATCGCGCTTCAGGACCTCGCGCATGGAGAACGTATGAGTCGAAACGCCCCGCCCGCCCTCCAGACAAACCTGGTGATGCAGCGACGAGGAGTTGCTCTCAAGGAAGCGGAAAGGAGGAGGGGGGAAAGTTAAGGATAGGGGGGGGGAAGAGAAATTGATATATATATATATATATATATGTATAAAGAGAAAGGGAGAAAAGTGTGCGTAACTCGTGGAAGGGTTGGAGAAGGAGTGACGGACAGAGGCAGATATCACAGAGGGGGAGAAACGAAACAACGAGAGAGTCTATAGATGAGAGGCCAAAAGGCGCGAACGTCATTCGCATAATCAAACATATAC